GTGTGTGTGTGTGTGTGTGTGTAATGATAACCCAATGGGTTTTTTTAACTTTTTCTCCCATTTACTCAGTCCAGTTTTGGATTGAAAATATATGACCAACTTAGGTTGGTTGTGTTCTGAGCTCATTGGCAAGGTTCCAACCCAATTGAGAACCAATTCTCATGCATACAGTGGTTAGTATATGGCTGCTTATGCAATTACATGTCAAGCCAGCGATGTAATCTGTATTCTACTCTTTTTTTTTACTGATTAAAAAAAGGGTGGGGACAAAGGAGAGTGCCCAAAGACCACCCCGATAGGCCTTCACTAGTGAGATCATGAGACCCCTGATCGAGCCTGTTATATCTCTCGAGAACGAACCTAACTAGACTAGTATAACAGTCAACCACTAAACTCCAATGCATAATTATCAAAAGCGTACAATTTGAGATTCGAATCGTACGATTCGGTTGGATATAGGCACAAAACTATTTGTATCTTATACGAAAATCGCTTTAAAGTTGAATCACACCTGAATCGTACGATTCGATTCATATTAAAAGAATCGCACGATTCAGTTACTTTTTTTTTAAAACCCAATTTTTTTGCAAAACAACGTTATTTTGTCCGCTAAACAGTAAAACAACATTGTTTTGTCCGCTAAACAAAAAAACAACGTTGTTTTGTTTGGAGAGAATCCCACGTCCTAATAAAAACTTGGTCTTTTTGCTCGTTCTCTTTCTCGCACGTTGTCTAAAGCTCGCCTTACATTGTCTGAAACTAAAGGTCACAGCTAAAGCTCTTGCATCATCAACTGAAAGAATGCCTCATGCTCCTCCTCTTCTTAATTTTCTTTTTCTTCTTAACAGTAAACAAACTGTATCATATTTGTTTTCTTCTTGTTTTAATTAAATTTTTCTATCTCCTATCACCATATTTCAGAATAAATTTTGATTTTTGCTCTCAATTTTTTTATGGGTAATTTGCTAAGTTCTAATTTTTGTTTCCAAATATTGACTTGTATGGTTTCTCTCAATTGATTTTCTTATTTATTTTTTTTCCATTCATGTTTGTAACCTAATTTATACCGGTGTCACTGTTTTGGTTCTTGAATAGTCATGATTTTTTAATGAGTTTTTTTTTCAAATTGTTGAATTTGAAAATGGTTAAGCAAAAAATGAAAATGAGGTAAAAGACTAGCGACTTTCCATTTAGACGACGCGATTATGTTAATTGATTATTTTTAGAATGGAATAATGTTCAATATTCAATATTTTGTCTAGTTTAAATATGCAGATATTATTTTTTATTTTTGTTTAAATTTTGTGTCGAATCTCACGATTCATGATTCGATACAATTCACAGTTCTCAAATTTAGAATTTCGATTCATGATATGAATTGCGATTTGATAACTATGCCCCAATGTGAATACCCATACTCGAACCTCAACCTCTCGGTGAGAAGTTCGGCCAGTACTCCACTGGACCACCCCACTCGGTGGTGTCTATATTTGACTTAATAAAAAGAATACAAAATGGAGCTTTCTTCCTCATTGCAACTGTTGAGTACCTACTGTCAGCTTTCAGCAACAAGCCTCTCACAGGTTGATAGACAAATATAAGATAGGATATAGATACAGCATGCTAATACTATTTGCAACAGTTTTGGAAGCAAGCCAATAACTAAATGAAGGTTTTCTTTGTTTTTAGACAAGCCTGCAGATACTTCATTTTATGTTAATCATGAGTCTTAAAGCCACTTCACTATTTGTTCCAAGACCAAGAATCAGCAAACACCAACCCAAATTCTTGCTGAGACAACTCGATTCTATGTATCCCATGGTGCAGTTACAGCCTACAGGTTAAGATCACAAACCGATGTTGGCGATCAATTTGGTAACAAACAACCCAACCCCATTGCAACACCAAGACGCTAAAAATTGAACCACATGATAAAGATGCTAGTGACCAAAAAGTGTAATTATATGCTTCAATATATTATATTTACATACAACTAAAGAAAAGAAAAAGGGGGGAAATCATACCACAAGGGTCCAGGTACACAGATGAAACAAGAAATGGTGGCCTTCTAATTTATAGAAATTTTATGCTTCATAAGGTCATGAAAAGTCGTTGCATATTGACGATGATAATACAAGGACAATACTTAGAAACTCCTCCATTACTAATGTATTTTCACCAACCTCAACACTCCATATTCTGCAGCAAGAGGCATGTTTCCTTTTCATATACCAATATACTGATGTTGTTTCACAGGGATAAGGATCAAAGGATAAACCTTTTGAGCCTATCAAAGAAGAATCTAGGGGGTTCTCCAAAAACAATGAAATGTTTCCATCATCATGCTTGCAGTTTCACATTGTATTGGAACTCCCATATTTTATTGATAATTTATTGATAAGAAGCGACATTTTATTACAAGATACAGAGTATGGAAAAAGGATGCAACGGAGGAAAAGACCTCCAACCGAAAACTAAAGGGCATGGAACTAAATGATTTTCACTGATCCATCTCCTAAAAGAAGGATACAATTACAGAAGTATACAGAAGAAATAAAAGAACAGGAAGACTTAAAAAAAAAAAAAGGTTAAACCTCAAGTTCGCTGGACAGTTGTATTTGTTTTTTAAGTCGTTCATGAGAGTCATTGACCTCTTTCAAGAGCTGCTCCTGCAGCGCTTGTTCCCTTCCTTTAGCAGCAGCAAGTTCTTGCTCCGCATAGAGAAATTGATCTCGAAATTTTTTGCGCTCGGCATCTGTAACAAGGAAAACTTGGAAGTCATGTTTCAAGCTGGCTTTGATGGATTTTATAACTTGAGAATTTGAAAGCAGATTGAAAAGAAAAAGGCAAGGACAAAAATGGAAAAGCAAGAATATCATTCGACCATTGATGTAAATGTAACATTTCAACAGGATCCTAGGACTTATAAAGGAGTGGTTCTGCAGAAAAAACCCCCATAATTAGCTTTAGCTTGTAACTTAGTTATTAATATGGTATTTGAGTAAGCAAGTCCTATGTTGGAGCCAAATCAACTCCCTGAGAGTATATAAAACAGCAGCGTGCACTCGCACCGCCTCCCTAAAAGATAAAATTCTTTCACATGGATGTCCCATCATGGGAAAACAAAGACGAGGGAGACTAATGAAACAAATAAACAAGTTACAACTTTGTTTATGAGCATGAACTTAAAGAAATGTGTTGTCGATGGTAAGTGTTTCTCAATGCAATGTATATTATGATACACTCATTAAAATCCATTATTCCTGACTAGGGATTAAATCATTGTTCATGGTTCCTCTACTAATGAGCCTTTTTGTGTCACAACCAATGTTACCTGGATCGTGGGTTGCTTTGGCACGTGGTACGGGTACGGATACACAATACAACACTTTCTTAGATACGCGTTAAGATGGGAGTAAGCTTAGTTGGTACGGTATTTTAGATTGCTATTCGTTTTAGAACTCTTATATAAATTATTTTCACTACTATACAACATTATATATTATAGAACATCTATAAACACTAAGTTAGTTACCATTTATTTTATAGTTGTGCTTGATTTTTTATTATCTAAAATAATTATAAATCTATATACATGTAGTCAATTAATATGTATTTTATATTTATTTTATATGTTCTAAAGTAAAGAACGTCTCTAAGCACTAAGTTAGTTACCATTTATTTTATAGTTGTGCTTGATTTTTTATTATCTAAAATAATTATAAATCTATATATATGTAGTCAATTAATATGTATTTTATATTTATTGTATATGTTCTAAAGTAAATTGCTTTAGGGTTATTATTATAATTTGGGGTTGTCCATTTTGGTGATCTGAATCAAAAACCCACCCCGTTTGGGGTCGATGTACTCAAATCGTGGGTTGTCAAGATTTTAGTGAATTGTGGTAACCATGGTCACAACCCTCATTACCATTTCGCACTACATTATACCACTCATTTTCAATAAGGAGTGGAAAAATAAACCATGCCACTACTTTAGTCCAAAATACACACTGAAACCTTCAGCCAAAAATTGATCACATGTCACCCAAAAATATGAAGACTAGTTTTGTTTCTTATTTTTGTATAGGAACTTAGGAAGCAATGGGTTCAACTTTTGTGCTACCTGGCCTTAGTTAACAAATGTAAAAATCTATTTAAGAAACTGTTAAACTGTAGCAGAACCAAAGAAGTCTTCATATTATTCTGCAACAGTCCAATTTCAAAAACTCACCCGTTTTGCAAAAATTGTCATTCAGTTCCTCCAACTTAGATTGATAATCATGTGCTTGTTTCTCTGCACTGCTTAAGGCATCAAAAAACTCTGACTTAACCTGCAGTATTGTCAAGTTATTCCTGGAACCAAAAGCAAAGTTCAACACATAAATGTTTTAAAAAAAAAAGGCACATAGAACACGAAAAAATTGCATCCACTACCCACAATTTGCAACAAAAATTGCACATCATATAATTACGAGAAGGTCAGGGAAATGGGAGTCACTGCAAATAGAATAAGCCCAGAAAAACCTACTAGTTTTAGCTAGTGTTCTTATAATCTGTATCTCGGGTGGTAGATTTTGGTTGTTTGTTCTCCACATGTACAAGGAGCACCCTTTATGTGCTTCAAATGAATATTTGCTGAACTAGCATAATGAAGTTGCTAGGAGGTTTTGGACGCTTGTGTCCTCGCCATTTTGACGCTACATAGATGATGCCAACCACGGTTGTGGGCTCGTTATGGTGTTGGAAGAGAGGACATGGTAGGAGGTGACGTTTGGTGGTTTAAGTGCCACCACTTCATCTATGGCGGAGTATTTGGCTGGAGCAGAACCAGATTAATCTCGGAGATTATGAGGCATCGCTCTTCGAGTTGAAGATAAGTTATTTGGGACTTGGGTACTACTGGTCCTATCAATAACAATCGATGCACAGCTAGAAATTATAACATATAAAAGCCCCGTTTCCAAGACATGTAACTCATTTCACAAAATTAAATTTTGATTGCAGAAAATCACAAAATTGCTTCGAAACCTGAAATAAACTAGCTCAATAAAGAGAAATTCAATGAATCAGTACTTGTAAGTAGAAAACAAGCCTCGTTCATTCAATCTCAAATTGGGAAGAGAAATAAAAGGGGGGTTAGGGTACCATTTGACGACATTGGTAAGTGCAGAGCATTTGGTCGGAAGTAATATGATCATGAGAAGATTCCGGCGCCGTAGGATCCTCGTAGATGACCAAACGGCGATCGGAGTTAGGGCTATCTTCAGGTGGCCTCGAATCGGCCCTTCGTTTTCTAGGTGGTGGTGTCCTCAGCATCATCGTCTCTCCGATACAGATATCCCTAGGGTCTCTCTCTCTCTCTCTCTCTCTCTCTCTCTCTCTCTCTCTGTGCGCTTTGCAAAGAAAGGCTACTTCAAAATGAAGAGCGCCATTTCTCGCTTGTTGGCGTTTGCGCTTAAAATGGAAAGCAATCTCTATTAACATTTTTCATTGTTTTATGATAAAAAAAGAAGAGGAAAACTCAAAGAAGAAAATATTAGGGTAAGCTTCATTTACACCCCCAGTAGCTATTTATATATTCAATGATACCCTATGTATCTTCTGAAATTTCACTGAGGAGTTGTCTACTAACGGTGTTAATGGAGGAGGTCATTTTATATAAAATACCCTTACACATGGGCGAAACTAGCATAGCCCCTTGAATTTTTTTTTCTAAATATTACCTACATAAAAATTCATAAATTTTTATTATATTTGAATTTGTCCACCCTATATTATTTTTCTGTCATATTAATTGATATAAATATCTAAATGACATAAATTTTCAGTCATGCTTCAAACACGTAATGGACATATTCAAATAAATTTTAGACATATTTTTATAATTTTTAGCAAAATTATGAAATTATTTTAATATTTAATAAAAGTTAGGATCATTATGAAATAAATTATAGGATTATTTAATAGGTCTATAATGGAATTAAGAGTCATAACTTAAAATTATAAAATTATTTGGATTTAAAAAAAATAAATATAATTATGTTTTATTGACAAAATTATTTTAATTAGACCAAAATGAGTGATTGAGAGAGAAGAGAAATAAGTAATTAGTGAGGATGTGATTCTCGACTATTTTGTAACCCTCTTGCAACTATTATATTCTCTAGGGATATGTGACTAACCTTTATTTGAAATCCACTATAATAATATTTGACTCTCTTGACACTTTTTGACCAATTTAAAAATTATACTTGAAGTCTACTATAACCATTAAAAGTTTTCAAACCTAGAAAGAAAAAGTGGCCCTACTCAACTAAATTGTTAAAACTACGTAAATATCTATTGACCTATTTATTTGTGACTTTAACATTAATTTTATCAATTGCATTCGAGTATTTTGAGATATAATAAACATAACATAATTTATAATAAATAGGTAATTAATAATTTGAATTAATATAAAATAAAGATATTCTTAATGATATTAATAATTAAGTTAATATATAATGCTTTTCAAAAATATAAAAAAGGTCGAACCGCAAAGATCTTCGTTGTTTCTTCTACAACTAGTCACAGAATTATAATTGGTGGGTGGAGTAGTTATAAGGTTTGTTAAGTAAAGGGAATCTTCAAAAGTTTAAGAAAATATTAAGTCAAGATTTTCACAGTGAAATTTCAGAAGATGCAATGGATGTCATTAAATATATGGATAACAATAGGGGTGTGGATGAAGTTTACCCAAAATATTATAGAATGTTTTTTGAGCCAATTAAACATTATTATTAATTCAACGATTATAATAAAATTATATCATTATGTTAATAAAGTAGATTAAAATTTATTTTATTTTTTACAAAATAACAAAATAGAACCTTCAGAGAGAGGTAAGAAGTATATTATAAATCTTTAAAGCATTTTCAATTGTGACTCAAATTTTTACTCAAATTTAAATTAATATTTAAGTAAAAAGTTTAATTTCATACAAAGAGCTCTAATGAAGAAACAAAAAATTAAAGAAGAAGAAACTCAAATTTAAATAAAGGCAAACCCAAATTTATATGAGAATAAAGATAACCATTGAATCTTTAAAAGATAGGAAAATCTCATCTTTGAAGATTTGGATAAGAATTTTAAGTCTCCCATAATTTGAGTAAAAAATTGAGTCTTCTTTGATTTATTATAAGTTTGAGTCAAATGTTAAAGTAAGTACTGTAATTTGTAGGATCAAGCAATATGTGCCCTACTCTTTGGGTGTGTTTGGGTAATGGGGTGGGATATGATAGGTTTTCTTTTTCTATATCCTACCCCCATCAAAGTCAAACTCACGCATCCACTTTAAAACCATAACCCAAGATTATATCAAATCTTAACCTTTATTTGGGAAACAAAAATATAATTCAGTGGACCCCATAGATTACACAAATAATTTTGTAATAGTTTACCATTATACTCATGACTATATTCATTCCAATCCAAACCAATCATATCCTATGTTTGGTTAATCCATCCAAGCTGAATAAAATTATATATTTTCCAAATATACATAAAAACATATAAAAATANAATATATATATATATTGATGACAATGAGAGAAAGACAAACAACCTTGCCTTAAAACAATATGATAAAGCAACCAAAACAATGAAAATATAAAAGTAGTCTCTAAGACTTGACTTGAAAAAAAAAACCCAATGCAGCAACAAATGCTTGATTACAAAATCTCCTTTTAACATACATTAATACATAATAACATAATGTTTTTTTTTATTTTTAAATAAATCAACACTTTATTTCATTTGCCCAAAAATTACAAGAATCAACCCCCATTTATCAGTCATGGAAAAATACAAAGAATCAAAGAATTACAATGTCCTTCCTAAACGCCTTAACCCCTTCTTGATCCTGTAACATCAGCAGTTTTGCCTGCAATGGAATGACCAAGTCCAGGGGAAAAATCAGCAAACCAAATCTGCTTGACAGCTGAATTTGCCAAAAAATCAGCCAAGCAGTTTGCCTCCCTATACACATGAACCAAACTATTCTGAAAAAAATACAAAAAATGTGTGACGCTCTTAAAATCGGTGGTCCTTTTTCAACCATTGATCACCTAATAATCCATGGAAGTACCCGTGATTGCCACACAACTCAACATCACATCAATAACATTCCCTTAACTTGGATCATCACCCCACACGTGTAACCCATGTACATTATACCATTTGACCAACCAAGGTCCAATATACCACTATTTATCCTCATTTGATGTTCATTTATATCCTTGGAACCAAAGATTCCATCATCCAAAAGTATGGCAAAGCAGTATTAAAGTTTTAAATTTTTGAAAAACCTACCAATAGGTTTTGTCTACTAGAAAAGTTCTACCAATAGATTTTGCCTGATAACAAAGTTCTGCCTGTACGCGAACCTACCAATAGGTTCTACTGGTAGATGTTGCCCACTGGACAGCAATCTACCGGTTGGTCTTGTCTAGATTTGGCTGTTTCACCTGTTTTTTATTTTCAATTCATTTCAAACATATTATTTCCATCCAAAACCTACCTGAACTCATATAACACTATATTTGCACTTCAAGCATAATTCATACTAGTTCTTTAGCAATCATTTACATACGATTACATACTCAAACACATAAATTTTCACAATGTTTTACAAAATATGGAGTAAAGGCCACAAGTCGGCCTCTCTTCATCCTCGAGGCCCCGAATGAGCGTCATCCACCGATGTATATTTCGCACCTGAAATTTTTTTCCCATATAGAGTGAGCCACACTCAATAAAGTATCCTCTACAGAGGCTACTCCCCCAACGCTGATGCATATGCAATATGCGCATGTACAATCAACAAGCATCATCCATTCTAATTTAGTATATGCAATTCCATGTTGAAATTCTACCATGTCATACCATAAAATGAGATGAGACTCACTCATGCAATATATCTTGAGCCTTTCTAACTCCCTTCACCCCATGCAATGCTACATGTATGAAAAATCTAGGGCATTCCAAGCCTCCGTCATTGATGTTTCACATCGAATGACTATTTTATAAACAAGTTCATGTATCTTTATGTAACACCCCCCCCACTACCCAGCAGNTTTACAAAATATGGAGTAAAGGCCACAAGTCGGCCTCTCTTCATCCTCGAGGCCCCGAATGAGCGTCATCCACCGATGTATATTTCGCACCTGAAATTTTTTTCCCATATAGAGTGAGCCACACTCAATAAAGTATCCTCTACAGAGGCTACTCCCCCAACGCTGATGCATATGCAATATGCGCATGTACAATCAACAAGCATCATCCATTCTAATTTAGTATATGCAATTCCATGTTGAAATTCTACCATGTCATACCATAAAATGAGATGAGACTCACTCATGCAATATATCTTGAGCCTTTCTAACTCCCTTCACCCCATGCAATGCTACATGTATGAAAAATCTAGGGCATTCCAAGCCTCCGTCATTGATGTTTCACATCGAATGACTATTTTATAAACAAGTTCATGTATCTTTATGTAACACCCCCCCCCACTACCCAGCAGGATATTGTCCTCTTTGGCACAGGGTCACGGAACACCGTTCTCCTCCCCTGCCCTCAAGGGTTTGTTCCTCCCAGGGGTTCCCTGGGAAAAGGCCTCTTGCAAGGTAAGGGCTGAAGGCTTACTTATAAGCCCAGCAACTCCCCCCTCCGTAACCGATGTGGGATACCAGGATCTCACACTTTATTTGGGTATTTGGATTCTCGGAGTCTTACCGCCGGTTCTGCACACTGTTACACTTTTTCGGAATTGCACCTCAGGAGAGTGTATGAACCAAGTAGCGGGTCTTGCACCCGAGGACGTGTCTAGCCCTTCTTGTCATACCCGACACAAGTTTTTCATGCAACATGTGACTAAGTCAGATATTCAATCTAACATTTTCGAATCCACCCATCAACTACCAAGTGTGGTGTTTGATTAAACCATGTACACACACACCCACACTCATGCATAAATGCCCATGAATGTGATGTCAACTTCATACCCAAAATGCAATGAATGTCAAATGAGCAATTTAACCGCACATCAAAATATCTCATGACAATGTATATCTTAAGCATATAATTACCACAGTTTATCATGGTGCTAATATATTAACAACATGCATCAAGAATAATTCACAAGTATGTTATCACACAATCTATGTCAATAACATACTTTATTCACAAATGCATAATATAAACACATAGCATGCCCATATAATACCAAATTTCATGAAATTACACAAATAATTTCCACATATTAATTTCAAGTTAGGAATTTATTTTAAATCATTCTATACCAATTTTCTCATTTTCATAGCAATAGGTAAGTGATATATATACCTATTCATCTACCCATTCTATACGGACATCCTAGGTTAGAAAATAAACCTAAGTAGGAGGGAACCTTACTTCTTCAAGCGTAAAACGAAGAGTAGAATTTCAAGAAGACCTCTCAAGTCCCAAAACTCTTGATTTTCTCAAATCTCCTCTTTGAATCTTTGTTGAAATCCTTCGTTCTTGGTATGGTTGCGTAACTCTCATTGCGGTGATCGATTTTAACTCTTGGTCTGAGGGATTCCGACAATCAGAACTCCGTAGATCGAAGAAAGAAAGGTCAAAATTTCTTTTTCTTTTCTCTCTTTTCTCTCTTTCTCTTCTAACGTGAGAAATCTGATGAAAATAGGGAGAAACTGAGATATTTCTCTATATTTATACCCTTTAATTGTGCGGTCCACATCGCGTTGCACGTTTTCTATTTTCGGGTTCATTTTTTGTCCCGAAACAACTTAATTTTGTCCCGATTTAAGTTTAAATTATTTTTATATGAACTTAAATTAAATTATAAGAAATTTTTATAAAATTTATTTTTTGGGACGTTTTTGAGGTCATCCGATATTCAATTGTCTTGTAAAACGTAAAAAATCAGACTATCTCAGAATTCGATAAAAATTATCTAGACAATTAAGTTTCGTAAGACAAATCTAACGGTGCGGTCCATTTTGTCATCTAAGATCTAGAAAAATACGAGTTTTCAACCCGCACTTTAGTGACAAATTACCGTTTTGTCTTTTTTTGTAAAAAGTTCAAATTTACCCGGATTTTACAAAATAGCTTAAAATTATTTTACACTATATTCCAACATCTTAGTCTCCTCACAGTTCAGCTCTTGGCTCTTTGATCAATCACTACCTTCCTCAGCCTTGCAGTAGGCATCCTAGTCTGATCCTGTTGCAGAAGTAGCCTGCCAGACAATGGAGAAAAATTATTAGCAGAGAAAAATATAAATACATAGGGTGGAAAACTTTGCCAGTGAAGACGTTGTAATGGAGAAAGAATATGACTCGCCCTCAAAAAACAATGTCTGTGTTTGTGCATGATGGGGAGAAACAATATGCAGCTAAGAAAAGAAGGTAAAAACAATATTAAAAATAGCTACTTTCAATGAATGATTATAGTAAGAGACATAGAAATTGAATAATAAACAGAATGCAAGCATAGACATGACTTCTTATATTTCCCCTGACACTCTCATGTACTTGTTAGAACAATGGGTCTCTGAGGGAACATTTTCGAGTATTCAAAAGAGAGCCTATCCAAGTTGTGCACCAAAACGAAATTACAACAAAACAACTTACATTACCATAATTTGAATTTACTACCCTCATTGAAACTATGCATTTCATACACTACTCATCACAAATGGCAACTAATTTCATGACTGTAAGGCATTAATGGCAAAAGGGCTACCTAGTCTTAAATTGAAAACAATCTCGAGAGAACTCACAAGTGAGCCAAGAATATTATCATGTCAAGGTAGGATTAACCTGCGAAGGACAAATGAAGGGCTTGTTGTTTTACAAGAAAAACAAATGACAAGCAAATCGATTTGTGGCACATGCAAATTCATTTCATCACCATCAAAATCGGCATTGTATCAATAGCAAATCGATTCATTAAATCTCAATGTACACCAAGGCATTTATCCTCGCCTGCATGCACAAAATAAGAAAATCTAATATAATATCAATATAAGATCACCCTTTCATACATTTCCATTTGAACAATTGTAATCACCCTATGGCGCATGATTGACATTTGACGCAAACTTGGTTGTTTGTTAAAAAGAATTATGTCACCGTCTTCCAAATGATGATCAACTATGTAACCAAATTTCAATTCATCAACATAAAGCTTTCTGGAAGCAAACATTAATGCTCTGTAGCATAACAAGTGACCTATATTAATGCAAAACATACAAAAATGTAGAAAATAATGACAAATAAGAGTCCTTACATTGAGGTACCATTAGGCTTTCTGAGAAATCTTGCACCGGGGTATTTGTTAGCCACATTACAGACACACTGCCTCAATTTCACTATATTATGATGGGAGACATGCTCAGGATAAGTTAAAAGTCAAGCCATTAAGATAGGAATTGTTACCTAGACTTGATAAACACGTTAAACAAAACATTTAAACTAATACTTGAGAATCAATTTGATCAAATACAACCTTGAGCACAAATTAAGAACATGTCAAACAAATGAAAAGGAAACCATTAAATCTTTGGCAGTCTGAACAATAATTTTACTTAGACCAACCATTTTTACTAACAATCAATTATAAAACAAAAGGTACAAGAACAAATTTTGCACTTAATGCCACACACAACAAAATTAAACCCACAAATCCACGAATTTACTATAATACTAGAGTGATCAAACAACTCTGTCTCTATCGATTGATCTAAAAACTACTGAAATAAGTCATTGGCTATCAAGTTCACCTTGGCGAGTTTGCCCAAGTACATACACCCCGAGTTTTTGTTACATGACAAATGAATAGGTCAATCATCATCAATAACTATGACATTATCTTCCCTCCTCCTCGAATTTACTGATGGGCATGATCCAGCACTGCTATCAATGTGTTGTTGACTTGAGGTTAGTACATCGTTCTTTAAAATAATTTCCAACATTGAGAAGTTTGGAGAAGGATCCAAACAATAGTTAAAAGCAAAACCATCATCCTATAATAAATGTGTCAAGTTATAATATAGAACCATAAAATTACCGACATGTATGAGTAATAAAACAATGGCACACTGACACGAACATGAAACAAATTAATTAGAATCACGTACTTGAATGAAATCCAAACCACCAGACTCTGGGCCTTTAACAACACGCGTAGTTTGCGTGTCCCAAACAAATATTCCACTATTTAACATCTCATCAATGCTTTTATATTGGCGCTCCCAGAAAAGGATTAGCCTCAACATATCACTCATAGACAGATGAAACCTAGGCATCCTTCGTCGCATACGTTTAAAAGGTGCATCAATTAATCTTTTTGAATACCTGCCTACTGATGAGAACATAATATTGCATATTTAACGGCCTCATTACATGCATTTTAACTCAACTTTTGCATCTAAGTACTTAGAGTTAGCCGCAATTATAAATAATGTTGAATTTTTGATGTTGCAGGTAATTATAGTGTAAACAATGGATTTTAGAACCTTGCAACTAAGTTTGAATGAGTGGTGAAGAGATGGACAAATTTAATGAGGTTTGGGAGGCTTGGAAGGTGAAGAAATCAAGAAAAATGCAATTTGGAAGGTTTAGCCCACTGGTTTCCCAAAGTTTTGACACAGTACTGCTGTTTTTTTCATTTTTGACCATGATCCACTTCGAATTTGAAACAGTGCAAAACATGACAGTTGTAGATCTAGATGTCTTATGTATTATGTCAAAATATCAATTCAATCAGAAGGTTGGATCAAAAGTTATGAGAATTCTACGAAAATTGGTCCGGAGTAGAAGAGTACCGGTACGGTTTGGCCTCTGGTGTTCGGGGTACCGGTACACAATACTGGTACGGTTTGCTGAACAACCCCAAATGCTTACATTTCATGCTCCACTTGCTTGGGGGTCCCATCATTGATTCTCCCACTTCTCCCCTGACTTCCCTTACATATTTACATGCCTCTTACATCCTAGTGGAAGACTTTGAAGGCTATTGCATTTATGAGGATGAGAGAGGAAGGGGAAGCTTGGGGAGTTGCTAGGCAGGCTGCTCCTAGCCTATCCAAGCCATCATCTCACCTCCCATTGATGGGAGGCCTGCACACACAGGCTAGGGGAGCCTCGTGGACGAAAATGTATCACTACTTTACCATATATTCAACATTACACAAGCTTTAAAAGGGTGGCTACCTAAGCTTAGGAGTAGTTCAATGAAGAAGATGATGAATAGTGTAATAGAAGCTTATGTTTTTTGCAATTTCTTCACTCATTTCATTGCAGTAAGTGGTAGCTCTCTTGTAATCTTTATTTCTTGCATTGTAATCTCCTTTATATCAAGTTTAGTTACATGTTCTTCAATCCACCATTGTTGCTTCCAAGTTTTCTTCATTTCTTGCTTTAAAATGGGTATTGTATTTCTTTCTTTATAGTTCAAGTTTTCTTGCTTTAAGTTAAGTTTCAATCTCCATTTCGTCATTATGTCTCTTTATATTACGCATTTGTTTCTTGCTTTCATGACTAGCTAGATTTTAAGTTGGTTAATCCAAGGGAGACCTCCTCTTGGGTTTTTCATTTCGACTCATTTTCTTTCCTCCTCTCGGTGTACGATGATTCAATTTGACTGGGTTAAGAGTAGATGTGGTTATGAGTCTTTGATATTCCGTAGGCCTAATCGCGATTTATGCTTGGATCCTCACCATCTCGTCCCTAGCTTCCCACGAATCAATCGTTCACCTATGCACCATTGGAGGAAGGTTTCGAGCTGAGTTGGGATCCTATTGGAATGACCCTTTTGGATTAGCCAACACTTGTTTTCTTGCATTTTCATTAAAAACAAAACTCACCAAAACCAACTACAAGATTTTACATTTTTTTTCCTTTTTCAACAAAATCACCTTCAATAGAATTCCATTTCTTCCCTGAGGAGACGACCTTGAAATACTTTTTCAAGTAAAACACGACACTTAAAAGACTCCTTGCGCTTGGGGAGCACTTTTGTTCACACACATATTTTGTGCATTGACATATTTTGTTCATTTCATTCATCCACATTTCTGTTGTCCCATTGCTTGCATTGAACCCGAGGGAGAGTGACACTCCTTTCACACATAAGCCATATATACATTTAAGGATGATGTGTGGAGATTAGGGGCTACAACGAAATACATCAAGCACCTGCTACAAGTAATTTCCCGCGATTCTTAAAGTCAACTAATAAGTCAAGTATGACATCAACTTCATCCTTAGTAACGTCGGGTAGCTTCATTGTGAACTAAGACCTCAACAATTACAAAAACAAAATATATTTTCAAGTCATCATCAACAACCATACATACGTAGGAAATATCCATATGGATAGTCCAACATAAAAGTTCTTAAACAAGTTACTAAGTCATGCAAAAGTCTTCACAAACCTACATATGATCAACATACATAATTCATCATCATCTACCCAAGAAGAAGTAAAACATCTAATTAATAAGTTAAAGATCTAATTAATAAGTCAAACATCCAAAACACCCACATAATACATAAGTTGCTAAAGTTAACGTGACACATGGGTCAACCAAAATTAAGTTCACAAGCAGGGCACGGATAGCTTTACATACGACCTTGATAAACATCTAAATCAGGCTATAGTATGCTACCAACCCAGAGTGCTCGCTCTTCCATGGGCAAGCTAAAGAAAATGTCAACTGTGATGTTATCTGAAGCAATTTTGTATGCTTCCTCGTGTCGGTGTGCCATTGTGAGGCCATCTATTTTCGACAACTCTGCTAGGATGACACGTCTACTTGTAGATGCATCTTGCTCTTAGCCTACTCTCGGTACAATGCTTGCTAGTTGCTAATTGCTAGTTGGTTATCGCTTGAACCCGGGAGAGTGAAACTCCTTTCACACATAAACCATATATACATTTGAGGATGATGTGCAGAGATTAGGGACTACAACATAAAACATCACCAAATACCCTACATATCTCGAAAAGACTTGTAGCCATTGAATTGCTTAATCACTAGATTTTATTTTTTTGGTATTACGTGTCTGTGGGGTGACATTCACACCCTCCCGGCCTTGAGTTACACTTTGCGAGTGGTTAATGTCATCTGTTCTCCCAGTTGGATGAGCCTCTACATCGGCATCCTCAGGAACATCCCCAACAACTGAATTGTCTTCGATCATTTCCTCTAGTCCTTGTGCAAACTCTCATGTTGCCATATCTTTCCCAAATATAAGGACCCAATCATCATACAATGGCCATGATCTACCACACAGCCCTTTCACATTCTTGTCTTTCTACATTGTCAATAAAAAAATTACTAGGGTATAACATATACAAGTCATCTTGGTTTACTATTATTAATGGATGCAAGGGAGTAGTAAAACCTTCAGGTACTCCACCCATATATCTTCACCATACACATCCACTCTCTTGTTGCAATCATTCCATCCAAAACCATATGAGCTTGGCATTGAATACAAAGAGTTTTACTGCTTTTTTGAGGCTTTGATTTTTGACTCAATATGTGGTGAGGCTCGAAGGTCAGATACTGGGAATGCATCTTTAATGTTGTGCTCTAATGTTTGAAGATAACCCGGGCAAAATGTGCCATTTTGACACTTCCATCCATTGACACAAAGTTCTTTCAAAGCTTGAATGAGAGTAGCCTCCTCCGCGACAGTCCATGTTCGGCATGGGCCACGCTTTACTTGGCAGCTTCCACCAACACTTGACATAATCTACTAACATACATACATGCCACATACAATTAAATAACCAACAAACACCTGATTCATATATGAGTTGGATAAAGTAATCATAAGAAAACACAAATAGTTCGCATAAATTCAACAACATAATTGGTCCATTACTACAAATGTAGTCAAGCAATGAGCCACCCCTACTTTCACATCATTCATTGTACATATCATTAGCTAGTTGGTTTCTAAACGTAGTCCATTCATTAGATGTGTCAACCATGTCGATCACATCCGGCTCTATATCACCATGACCATCGACCAGAACATCTTCTAAAAACTCATCTTCCAATGGATCGAATGCCATTTCATTTCTAACCAAGTTATGCAACAAACAACATGCAGTAATGATTCGATTGTGTGCGCGTAAAGGGTACTGGCAAGACGTCCTTAGGATTGCCCAACGATTTTTGAGTAAGTTAAAACAACGTTCTATAACATTCCTCGCCATCGAATGCCTAAGGTTGAATTGCAGTTGTCCATTCAACCCATTGTTGAACATGGTATCTTTGGCCCCTAAATGGAGCTAAGAACCCTTCGCCACTAGTGTAATCGGCATCCACTAGGTAGTAGGTGCCTACATAAAAATTGTGGTTTCGTAAGAATAGGCCAACTAATAATGAAGCTAGAGAAATGAGGTTAGTGGTCATATATAACTTACCCCGAAGCCCTTTCAATCCATTCCTCCTTGTTACCGCATCTCATAGTATCCTAGAACTAGCCAACCGGGCAAGACATAAATGAATTTCATATCTTGGGAGCACACACCAAGGGCATTTGTTGAAATGTCACCGTGTCTATTCCTATATCTTGCTTGGTGAAGCATTGGTACTCTTGCTCTAATGTGCGTGCCATCTAGTGCTCCTACGCAATTCTACAACACAAACATAACAAAACATATTTAAGTCAACTATTATGTAAATTACATTCTATCCAATCACATTAAACAATCATATAGTTCCCTTACCTTAAACCACTTCCACTTATTATCTGTACAGTCGTCAATAACTGGCTCGAGATTCTTCAATATTACACGATGTAACTTAATAATTGTCTTCAACACAGCATTGAAATGCTTGCTTACAGTTTCACCAGATCTAAGAAAGTTGAACTTTATTGGCTTATTCTTCACATCGTGACCCAATATATTTAGGAACATAGCCACCATTTCTTTAACACTTACATATCTCGTGCGATTTAACCCACCAACTTGTTCGACCAAATTACAAAGAATGCGAAAATGTGTGTCTATCCATCCTAAGTTGTTCTATACAATTGATGTCACTCTCACCAATTAGACGACACAAGTGTTCAAGTTGCAATTGATTTCTACACAACGACCTTGCTGGTTGAGATTTTGATCATCTCTTCTTTTCCCATAACACTACTATAAGGATGATAAACAAATAGAACATTACTATCATCTCTCTTCTTGTTCTATCCAACACAACAATCAATCTAGCGATGTCATTAATATGGTTTGACATTTTATGCCCTTGCAATTTCATGTACAATAATGAAGTCAATATTGAATGTT